TTTTTTTTTTTTTTTTTTTTCAATTAAAAAAAAATCTAGATATAATGGTAAAAAAATTTATCACTTTTATTGAAAATTTTCATGCAAAATAAAGCTAAACAAATGATATTCGGTATAGTGAACAAAATTTTGTAATTTTTTGACAATTGGAACAAATTCTAAATCCAATTGTAGAAAAAATTATCATTTTAATGGATAATTTATAACAAAGTCAAACAGATACCAAACTTTCAACATTTTTCAGGTGGAAAATTATACCAATCAAACACAATTAATTATAATTCTCAGTAAAATAATTTTTAGACAATTCAATTCCCTAAAATTTATTTTCTTTTCACTCATTTTCCAACTTTGCAATCAAACGGACCCTTAATCTACTTTATTTGGTGATGGATTTTGACATTAATAAGTGAAAAAAGATGTATGTAACTAAGGTACAGCTAGTTATTGTTGTTTGAGTAATGCTACTTGCGATTGCTCACTGCATCAGTCACCCTATGAGGCACACACATGACATGTAGTTATTTGATACATTAATGTGGTAGTTTTTTTTACCACATTTAATGTATCAAATACACACTTGACATGTGTATGTTACATAGGGCGACTGCTGCAGTGAGCGACTGCAAATAGCATTATTCTTGTTGTTTACATTGTGCATATTAAAATTTCATTTGCTAAAATATGAAAGGCCAAAAACTGGGTATTGCTATAAAAACACAAAAATTACAAATAATCTTTTATTTTTGATGGATTCATTCATATATACCAAAAAATATGTGTAAATAGCCTGTTTTCAATTTGTTATCATTCACTGAATCAACGAGCGACAATTCCCAGAAGGTTAGAGCATTATTGATTTGTTGAAACTTTAAATGTTGATGTTAATTAGCCAGATTATTTTTTATGCATTCATTCATAAATACCACAAAATATTTATAAATAACTTGTTTCTCGATGTGTTATCATTCACTGAATCAACAAGCAACAATCCTCAGAAGGTTGCCCCTCGGGGCACATCTGAGTTGGCAAATGATGGGCATTGCCGGATCATGAGCTTCGGCACAACTTTTAAACATTTATATTTTAGTCCACGAATTTTGGATCCCTTACAATTTAGCAATTTCTCCAAATTTGTCAACTTTTGCTTATTTTCTTCGATCTCACCAACTCACATCACAACATCAAAATCACATATCTAATTACTTAACAATTACATAAACATTACATCATTAATTATTTAATTAACCAAAAAAATTACATCTTTTTTAATAACAAATTAATTATTAAACAAAACTATTAAATATAAACTAGGCAAACGTGCATTGCACGTTGCTTGCACCTAGTACCAAAAAATATGTGTAAATAGCTTGTTTTTCAATTTGTTATCATTCACTAAATCAACAAGCGACAATTCCCAGAAGGTTAGAGCGTTATTGATTTGTTGAAATTTTAAATGTTGATGTTAATTAGCCAAACTATTTTTTATGCATTCATTCATAAATACCACAAAATATTTATAAATAACTTGTTTCTCGATGTGTTATCATTCACTGAATCAACAAGCGACAATCCTCAGAAGGTCGGAGCATTATTGATTTGTTGTAACTTTAAATGTTGATATTAATTAGCCAACTCATCTTACTAACACAATTTTGATTTGTTTTAACTTTAAAAGTCACTGTTAATTAGGCAGTCCATCTTACTAACGCAATTTTTAACAACTCGACAAGTTACTTCTTGGCATATTCTCATTTTGTATGAAAATGAGATGTTTCCTAATGCTAAAAGAGCTTTGCTAGATGTACACCGAGGTTTACTACTTGGGTGACACAATGCAAATGCGATAGCTCTTTATTAGTTGGTGGACAAAACAAAATTCCACCAATCAATCAAGAGTTGTCACCTCTACATTCTGTCACACATGGTAAGCTTGAGTTTACAAGTAGCATTAATCATGCCAAAAATACATTGATGGGACAACTAACGGCAGCGGATCTTACCCCTTTTTACTAAAACTTGAAAAATTGCTTTTTTGAAAAGACCTGAAAATTGTCAATCTCAAAGAAAGTTCAATACTTCAGAAACATTGTCATAAAAAACTAAATGCCCATATCAATTAGGCAATCCATATAACTAAAACTTGAAAAGGGTCTCTCAAAAAGAATTCATTACTTTAAAACTTTCACGGCTTATACAAACAACAAAACCTATTTCTTTATCCATGTAATTTCATAAGCCCGACGTTCGTGGGATATCAGTGGGTAGCTTGGTAGGGGTAACCAAGGTGTAAAGGCACCATCCCGCGCTATTCATCTCGTTATTCTACGTGACAATAGAGTTACTGTCACATTATCCAATATCTAAATATGCATTCAAACTTCATTGTACAATATTACAGGGAACTGAAAAGCTCTCGCTTCATTATCGGACAGTTTGATGCGCAAGCTACTCTTGTTCAGGAATCTACAACAATTCATTCAACCAAAAATGGTTGACGATGATCGTCTGGACTCTAGATGAATAACACAATTATTGTTACTTTTCTCGAAAATAAATAAGAGTTGCTATTTACGTAGAGTGATGTGAACTTGCCACATTTTGAATGAGTAAAAATGTAGCAATAACTGTCCACACACTGTCACATATCCTACTAGAGTCATGCTAGTTGTACAATCGAGGTTGACAACCACACACATGGAAGGTCCGCCTTTTTTTTTTTTTTTGAATTTTTTAAACATGAGGACCCGCGCACATGTGAGAGGTTGTCAACCTCGATTGTACAGATAGAATTTTTCTACTAATAATCATCATCACTCTAGATAAATAACAATATTGAAATAAATAAAATATATCAATAAATTAGTCATTTCACGTCAGGTTACGTAAATTAGCTGAACAAACCAAGCTTGACTTTTAGTGCTGTATTCCACTTTCATGTTATACTTTTCTAACTCGTTTGGTTGGCATATTTGTTTGTCAAGCGTAAAAATTTGACTGCATAAATTTTCACACGAAGCCATTATGCTGAGAGCACACCTAACTCAGCATTACGCAAAAAATGGTTTTGAATTCTGGCACAGCCCAAAATAAATTCCGTCAGTGATTTCTAGGCCCAGAGTCCAAATAACCCTGTCGAATTAGGCAGAAGGAGAACATAAGCCACGTAATTATAGTTGGTAACATCCTTTGCTAGCGACTATATTGCATGTTTTAGTGTTGCTACAATGATATTAAGTCTTAACTTTCATGCATGATCCAGTACATTAATGCTTACCCAGATCCCTGAATTTTGTACTTCATCTATAGATTTGTATTGATCAACCTCGGCTCACACTAAACAGCCTTTGAAACCTTTCCTTAGGGCGGTTTCATCCAAGTTCCTTCCAATGAAGACAATCTTGTTTATTCTTTTCTCACCTGGTCCCCATTCCTTGCCTGGGCAGCCATCTAAAGTAGAGTGTACAGCCTGAACGAGTTGAAAGAGCATAAAATTTGACATTTGAGTTTCAGAGACAAAAAATAGAAGTATTAACAAATTGAAGATATTCTATCGTGCTGGCAAAAGATAATAACCTGGAAAACATAACGCTGCTCAGAATCACTGACAGAAAGTATTCCTTTCATCCTGTAAATGTCATCCCCTTTCTCTTCTATCAATCTTTCGAGCCAATCATCAAACTAACTCACCAGTGCCGAAAGTTTCACAGATCAGAACTTGGAAGTTAAGAGAGAAAATGGAGTATATGCAGTCTGTTATCTAGGAACGGCAATACTATGCAAAATGAATCAATTTCCTAATCTTGCTCGACCATAATCTTTCTGCTAATACCCGATCCAAGGCATACCCAGAACTATATTTGGTTAAATAAGCCATTAATAGTTGAAGTAGGATTGTTTAACATTAATTTATGAAGGGTCCATATTTGCAGTTTTGAAAAACATGTGCAACAATATTAATCATAAGCATACAAATAACACCGGCACATCAAGATAAGCACTTACATAATCAAGATCTAGGGTTCCCTCAGAAACGATACTGACACTGGAGACCGCGGAATCGTGTACATGATCATGATGATGTCCTTTGTGATGTTCTATAAAACGAAAATGGCAAAATAAGTACCTGCTAATTAGAAAAATCAAAATATATAACAGTTTAGAATTCAGGAACAAGGGCAACAACCGTATTTCCTTATTAGGAGTTATTCTATGTACATGTTATTGTTGGTCCTTTTAACTCAATTGATGTCACCTCAATTATCTTGTGAACATTATCTATCTGTGTAAGTCAATCTTGTTTATCATTCATATAGTCCCGTAACGACAAGGCAAATTGGACATTCCCAGGTAGGAGAGAGTTTATTTTGTTAAATTGTTTTCCTAGAAGCTTCAATGCTTCTTAATAAGAGGTCTCCCACTTTGAAAGCCCATCCCATAAAGTGGCTGGTACTACAGCTACAACTTGGAATTTCCTGACACCAAGTGCCACCCAAAAACTAAGGATATCAGTTCTCCATAGAGCAAATGGTTGGTTAACAGATCAAGTGTTTCCGGTTTTTACCTTGTTTACTTTCTTCTGAATATATTAAATAACATGGAAAGGATAAGAAACTTAAAAGAAAAATGCATAGAATGTGTAGAATACTCCACCATGACCACTTTCATGTTGATGTGAGCAATGAGAATTGTTTGAATGAACTTCAGATTCAATTCTGTAAAGAAATACATTTATTCATCAGAGGATTGAGTTAAGCACCTATTATTAATGGAAATAACTAAGCATCTTGATTAAACAAAAGAACAGATCTCAATTGAATCACCTGTCAAGATCATAACCCCCCACTCCCAAAACAAAGTCCATGTCAACTACCCCATATTTAGCAAGCTTTACTTGTGCCATCCCATTGAGATGCTGTAAAGTGACCCAACATCAAGTTATGAGAATAAAATAAAATATGGAGAACAGTGTAGCAACATCAATTGTTATATAGCAACAACAATTGTTGTAAGTGACGGCCCAATTAAAATGAAAGATAGAACACTAAGGGTTTGTTTGAGCCCCATTTTTCTGAATTAATAGAATTTGTAATAGTAATTTATTTGGAGAATTTGTGGTTAAAAGTAGGGAAAAATTTTGGGATTATGTATAAAATTATTTTATTGGGAGAATGTGTGGTTCAAAATGAGTTTCGGGAAAAAAGAAATGAGTTTCGGGGAAAAAAAAATGGAGCTCAAACAGGGGCTAAATTACGGTATCAGGTGTATCTACTAACCAATCTATCACTTATGCATCCTCATAAAAGGGACTGATAAAGTAAGAAGAGAAAAAACAAACATTAATGTTTTAATTATATCATTCAACAGCGCTAAGTTGCCCAAATTACATGCTTAAATTACTAATCCCAGGTACGTAATTGCAACTATATAGATTATCATATAGAGACAAAGATAAAAGATATTCTGGAGAAAAGTTCAACATGTTGTACACAAATCATCAACTAACAAGAAGAAATCTATATTATCAGGCCTAGGACTGTCAGAGTTTTTAGAAATAGAGCAATTCTTCACTTTATAGACAGTAATAGAAATGAAAGAGAGAGGGCATCTTGAACTTCAAATAACATATGGAACAAACAATAGTCCATTTCGAAATGAATGGGATGGTGACATCTGTTAGTCAACCAGATGGTTGTTTGGAAGTACATTTTACATTTATATTTGAGTTATCAAAATAAAATACGTTCTATTTGTAGTATCTGGTTTGAAATTTAATATTACGTAAAATAGTTAATATACAAGCAAATAAAATTACATGTGACATCATTTCAAATGTAGTAGGGTGGAGGATAATGTATTGTATAGACCTAAAGAAACTCTCATTTATAAGAGAGATGTGATCGGGAGAACAAATTAACATGGCTTTAAATGGTTTGAAAACATTTGAATGCTCTCAATCTTTCAGTCGATGTAGAAAGTCACCAGAACAGAATGGCACAAAAAAATTCCTGCATGCAGCCGATCCCAAATTTATAGTAAATAATGCTTTTTTTTTAACGAACAAAGACCCAATTAAACGCTTAAATCAACCAATCCTAATCACCTCAAAACGCAGTAAGCATTTGCACAAAAGAAGACACTATACTTATATTATTTTACTACTCTAACAGTCTTACAGAAAGTAAATGAAGATCCAATAGATCCCACAAAATTTGGAAGTTGATACATATATGATTTATGAACCAAGTGAATGGTAGTTTAAGCTTCAAGTTAGGTTCCCCATATTCAATACCTTCCCCTAAATATCAACAAATTACAAAGAAATAGTCAGTTTTGCTTATGGATAAAAGAAAACCTACCTTGATTCTGTTTGTCAGTGACTCCACATCAGGATCAGCCACCAAATCTATCTGTCGAAATGAAATTAAAAATATAATCACTAAATTGAAAACTTCTCAAGTCTTAAGAAGGTTTCATAGCAAGCTAGGCAAGGTCGAAAACCAATTAACAGAATGGAGAAACCAAACACAAATCTATTAAAGATGAAACAAACTGCATACCTTGTTCAGAATAATGCGGTCCGCGTAAGCAATTTGTTCCACAGCCTCGTTCACTACAAACCTTGGTTTTACTTCATTTAAGTGTTTCATGGCATGCTTGGAGTCAACCAAAGTAACAACACCATCAAGTTTCACATGACGTGAAAGCAGCTCATCACTACAAAATGTTTCAATAACTGGACCAGGCTTTGCAAGACCTGAACAACAAGATCCATCAATGCATTACCAGTCCAAATTTTCAAGATTCAAGCACAATAGATGATAAATCACCGAATGCCTATTAAGAGAACTAGTAGCTACCAATTATATGATAGCAAAAGGTATGATGGAGTATACATAAAACAATTTGGTTCAACAAGACACTCAGTTCTCCCAAAGACCTAAATATTGATAACATTGAAAAAGTAATGGGAGTAATGGAAAAGGGATAAAGGAACAAAGAATAACCACGAGCAAACTGCATATCATATACATCTCTGTCTGACCACATTTATATTAATTTATGAGAGAAGCTATCAGGTTTAAGGACATCAAGGAATGACAATCATATGCATTTCTTAGGACATTAAAATACCTGTCGTTTCTATAACAATATGGTCAAACTTGTCTCGCTTCTTTTTAACCAACTCCAAAAGCAATTTGACAAGATCTCCACGAACAGTACAACACAGACAACCATTATTTACCATGACAATCTCTTCATTAGAAGAGGAATGACTAGCAACTAATGAACTATCAATGTCTACTTCACCAAACTGCATCCAGAAAGAAATTAAAAATTAGAAGTCAAATTTAGATAAATATGACCAAAAAAGAAGTAGAGAACTAACAATTTCATAGTTTCCCAATTTTATTTTGTCACAGGCATTATGCTCTCAAAAAGGAAAAAAATGATAAAAAAAGATGGTCAGATACAGAAATTTTCTCCTTGAAGTGACTGGTGTATCTAGAAAAACTTTTAAGGCATTGGAGACATGTGAATCAAGTACTATGTCTTGAATATATTAATAAACAATAAAAAAATGGACAGTGTAAAATGTATTAGGCAGCGGACAACAACTGTAAACAGATATAAGCAATAACAGTAGGATATTAATTAAAAAAACCCATGTTCTGGTACTGGTAGTAACAAGGAGTGGTATCACAGCTAATGCATCTCTTACAGAGAACATTCCACTGTTAATGATGCAAATTAAGTTGTGTCTTGTAAATGTTTTCAGCATTCACCGTTTATCCTCAGTTCAAGCCCAATTTGTCAGATTTTGATGTTAACACATGTATTGGTCATCTTACCGAGTATGTGAATGGGTACAGAAACTGTAACTGTAACTTGACGTTTCATCAATGTAGGAAATCATAAACTAAGGATATGTTCTATCACACTCCTTTACCAGTTTCCTTTTAGGAATTTATTGTTCTCTCTCTCTTTTTCATTCACCACTGTGTTGAATTCTTAAAATGAATAAATATTTTCTGTTGAACGGCAGCGGACCAATAAAACTGTACACATAGGGCTCCCAATTCTGAAGGCTAACATCATAAATTAGGACTATATCTATCAGTTAGAGAATTTAATTGGTGAACCTCATAACTTATGTGGGGCTACTTTAACTAAAACTCGACTCATTAGTGATTATGAACAGAGGAACAAAGAAATAAGGTCCCCAAGTAAGCTGGCCTGAATTTAGGAAGACCCTGAGGTTAATTATTGGCTACCTAACATCACAAGAAAGAGTAGTCCATCGATTTGGTTCATTGCCAAACATATACAAATTAATTATGGTAGAAAGAAAATAATGAGGACACCATACAGTCCCATTTTACACTGCATTGTAGAAACATAAAATAAATAGATAAAAGGGTAATTCTTTTGTAACATTTATGGTTGCATGTAATAAATACTTATATTGAGACGGTGTAAAGTAAAAAAAATAATTGACATTTGAAAGTCACACCAATCTTACACACATCGGTTATCACATTTTGGAAACTGCAATATAAAAGAGACTGAAAATGATAAATACTTGATAGTAAAAGAATAGCCATTGCCATACCTCATTTTCAATGACAGCAATCCGCTTTCCATGTTGAGATGTCAATATATGATTCAAAAGGGTGGTCTTTACATCATGCCAAAAAACACGAAGTTCAGAAAATACAGCCAACATATTAAAGAAAAAGACCAACTAAATACGCAAAACCTGATCTTCGGAAAATAATTTGAGAACAAACTACGTGAGTGTACATACAAATACATATACCAATAAATGTATGTATTCATATGCATAAACACATCAATTTATACAACTTAGCTGGCTGCTAGATATATATTAGATAGAATTCGCTATCATCAGTAGCATATGCATAGTCCTTTGCTATTAAGTCCCCATTAAGCTAAGCCCTACAAACCCAGTTGACTCAAAATCATAAAGAATCAATTTTTATCCTTGATTATCCTAATCACAAAACTATAGAATCATATAATAAATATATGCACAAGTTGGACCTTGCCAGAGCCAAGAAACCCGGTTATTACGGTGGCGGGGACACGGCTATCAGCATTTAAAGCGGCAGCGACTGAGGAATTCAATTCTCCGGTGATGTAATCAGATGCTGTAGAGGAGAAGTTTCTGTAATGATCCCGGTAAAGGAAAGAGTAGATAGTTCTGAGGGAATAGTTGAAACGATTAGTCGGTTGGATTTGGAAGGAGTGGGAGAGGAACTGTGACGTCGTTTTGAAGAGCAAGTGCCTAGTAGCCATTGGAATTGAGACTGGATTTCAGTGGGAGCTTAAACCCTAGACTTGGAAGAAGGTGATGGTATTGGATGGTAGGGATTTATGAATCGTTCGTCTTAAATGTTTTATAAGTTATATTTCACTCACTATATAATCTAAATATGAAAAGAGAGGTAAGTTTTTAAAAATAAATATATTTAATATATATGTACGTAAATAATAAAATGTATACTTATATGTAAATATTAAAATTATAGTTAAATGTATAAATGAAAATGAATGACAAATATGATACATGAATTAATTTGAATGCTAATTAATTTAGAATTAATATCAAGAAATATATACGTGACAATAAATATTAAATCATTTATATTAAATACATAAAATTTAATTTTCAATTAACTGAAACTCTAATGAATTGCATTTGAAATCCTAATTAATATTAATTAAATTATTGTGAATGTTAATTAATTGATTATTAATTACAAGTACATAGACTAATGAACTTGAAAGTAAATGAAAATTAGTATTAATAATTTCACTAAAATTTGGAGGACAATTTTACTTTTGAGGTCCATGTAATGACACTAATCAAACATCGATTTGTAGAATTTTTTAGAAATTAACCATTAATTTAAATTATTTAACTATAATATTAGATCGATTGAAGAGATTTTTTTCTTTTTATGGAGAATTTTTAACTCAATTTATTGACTAAGATTTTCAATATTCAAGTGCCCACTTCTGTAAATATTTATCCACAAATGATCGTTTTCAAGAATTTAATCTTCTCTTATTTTCAGTGTTAACTTCGTCTAGAATAACGTTGTAGTCTAGACAGAATCTAGGGACAATACCAGTTGGATGGATGATCACTTGCCAAATATGCATACGTAGAGCGGATTATGATAAATTGATGGTAAGGCCGGTCCTAAGATTTTGGGAACTTTATATTAGATCTTTTTTCGATAGACACTGAGTAGACCAAAAATAGAATTTTATCAATATCAACTTTGAGAGGGTCATTTCTTCAGATGTAGCTATAACTGGTATATAAGTAATATTCTACTTCCACTTGAACAACAATTTGGATAATATATAAAAAATATGTTCAACTTCTTTTTATGGATAATATATAAAAAATATGTTCAACTTCCACTTGAACAACAATTTTTTTAGGAGTAATCTTCTCAAATTCAAATTCAGTTTCTCTATATGTTTCAAAAAATTAAATAAGTGCTTTCAAATTACTAACAATAAGATCAATAGACATATCCTCATTTTGTAAAATTTTTCTTACTCTATTAATAGCAAACAATATATTGTACCAAATAGTCATGCCAAATAAGAACTCAAAAATTATAATACTAGAAGATAAACTTTTAGCAAATCTAAATGCTTTAGCGTGATCACACGTTTCCACAAAGTGTGAGAATGTAAAACCTTTTTTTTTTTTGAGGAAATTAAATTATTATAATATATAATAAAGAATTTTGGGGCTCTCAGCAAAGAGTGACCTTAGATGATTGCCTACTCTGCTTATAGTCAGGACTGACACTAATGACTGTACAAGTTTTGAAATGAAATAAAATGACTCCCACATACTCATGTACAAGGCTTGTTGGTAAGCAAAGATTTACTTGCGAGCACTGTTGTAAAAGGTCTATCAGGGCAAGAGATCGAGTGCCACCTGACAGACGATCATATGATAAATTTACATACGTTAGTTATGGCAGGTTGATGGCTGTATAAGTTTTGAAATAAAATCAAACAACTCCCACCGATCCATGTACCAGTTTTAGTAAGCAAAGATTTACTTTCGTGCATTGTTGTAAAAGGCCTATCAGGGCAAGAGTCAAGTGCCACCCAGGACTTTGTACCAGTGAAAGAGAGATTCAGTAGCAGTCAAAGAGGTTTTGTTGAAAGTAGAAATATTGCAACTTTTGATGGTAAAATATAGTTCCACACACTAAAGAGTAGTCTGAAAATGGCATGAATACAGAACAATAAATAGATGGCAATTCAAATTAATCATGTTAGTACAAGATTACAGATGAAGTATATTTCGAATAAATGGGCAATGTTGGATTGTCAACAACGAGATCATCAACATCAGCAAATTCAAACACCAGCTTGCGCAGATCAACAATGATACAGCAGATGACTAACTCGACCAAATCAAGAATAGAGCAGCTCTACCACTCTTCCTCGACTTTGAACCCTTGTTTCACTCCTGCCCCAATCACACATGAGAAAAAAATACGCCTTATTTTGTGCCCTGCCTGGCAGGACGTTAACAGAGTTCATATTGGGATCTTTTGCACATCTTCCAGTTCAAACTTATATTATCTCATGAAAAAGCATCAATATAGCAAGTGTCTAATGCAAAATCTTCAACTTTTGATGATGAAAATACAACCTGTAGAACTTTATATATATCTTCTGTCTCGAGGTGTGATTCATCGGCTACCAAAAACTCGTGAAACTTACCCTCCACCTCTATCAAGCTAGAACCTGGATTCTTCTTCACCCCTTTCTCTCTCATCATACTTCTGACCATACTAACATCGTCCCATTTCCTCTTTTTCGCACATAGACTGGCTAGGAGTGCGTAAATGCCACTATCGTTGGGATCTAAAATTATAAGATTTTCTGCTGCTATCTTCCCCAACTCAACATTTCCATGCATTCTACACCCACTCAGAAGGCCACCCCAAACAGCTTTATCTGGTTCCGTAGGCATTTTTTTTATCAATTCGTAAGCTTCTTCTAAGAGCCCAACCCTACCGAATAAATCAGTCATGCAAGCATAATGTTCCACTCCGGGCTTTAATCCAAATCTGCTCATGTCTCTAAAATACTCCCAACCCTTCTCGACTAATCCACCATGGGCACAAGCCGACAGGACACCGACCAACGTGATCTCATCCGGCTTAAATCCCACATTTATCACCTGTTCAAAAAGATGAAGAGCCTCGTGTGCATGACCATGAGAAGCATAAGCTACTATAATTGAGTTATAGGACACTAAATCTTTCTTTGGCATTTCATCAAATATCTCTCTAGCGGCACCAATATTCCCACATTTTGCATACATATCAACAAATGCATTCCCTAGTCTTACACTAAGCTTAACCCATTGTTGCTTAATATAGTAATCGTGAATCCTTAGACCTAAATTCATATGACCAGATTGAGAACACGCAGAGAGGGCACACACCAAAGTACTCTCCATAGGAAACAAACCGTTGTTCTCCATTTGAAGAAAAAGTTCCAAAGCTTCATTAGGTCTACTATTCTGGGAATAACCTGCAATCATTGCATTCCAAGAAACCACATTCTTCCTAGGCATTTCATTGAATAACTTCCTAGCCAAATCAACTTCCCCAATCTTCGCATACCCATTTATCATACTAGTCCACGAAAACACATCTTTCACTTCCATTTTATCGAAAATCTCTCCAGCTTTGGCCAAGCACCCACATTTCACATACATATCCAACATAGAATTCATCAAATTCAAACTAAATCTCACCACTTTCCTCTCTGCAAACTCGTGTATTCTCTCCCCCAAACTCAAATCCCCCTTTAAGGCGCATGCGCTGAAGACTGCCACCATTGTAACCTCATTGGGTTCAACACCACTTTCACACATTTTATCAAACATCTTCAAAGCCTCGTCAACCATATCATTTTTCACATATCCATCAATCATACTAGTCCAAGAAACAACATCTCTTACTTCAGTCTCATCAAAAATTCTCTTTGCTTCGCCTAATTTATGACTCTCGCTATAGAAATGCACGAGCCCATTTCTCACAATCACCTCCCCTACACATCCCACTTTCCAAATCCTACAATACAATGATTCTCCCACTCTAATATCTTCCAAGCCCTCACAAGCTTTCAGCCCAAAAACGTAGCTTCTTTTATCCATTTCCACCATTTCCTTAACCATTCTAACAAAATACTCAATACCCATTTCAAAAAACTGGTTTTTAACACAGCCCCTTATTATGGTATTCCAAATATACACATTCGGTTCAAGAATCTGACCAAATAGCACATTTGCATAGCTCATGCTCCCATTTTCATCCATGGCATAAAAAGATAGTAGCCTGCTGATTGGAAAGAGATGGAAAATGAGGCCAGTGCGGGTAATGTGGGCTTGGATTTGCTTTGCTTGGTACATGGAGTCGCAGGACTCTATGAGGAGGAGAGTAGGGTGTGTAATTATAAGATTTGGGTTGGGATTTGAATTCCATTTCTTGGAGTTCGTCAAAAAGTTCTTGCCAAATTGAAAGATTGATGGGATTCTACAGGAAGGAGACGAAATCGAAATATATTTCAGTATTGTGGTACGAGGTCTCATTTGAAGACAAAAATTGTTCCATGTAGGGAAACTGCCCAAGAGGCATATTATAGACTTATAGTAGAAGAAACTACCACTGTTTAACGGGTGAATTTAATCAATGATCGCTGAATTTTGTTATATATTATCACTTGCTTATTGAAATTTAAAAAGTTACTCTTTACTCATTGAATTTTGTTATATGTTGCTACTTGCTCATTGAAATTTAAAAAACCACTCGTAACTCAACTAAATTTGAATAAAATTACTTATTAATCACTCGTATCATTTCCATAATTGTTAATTATAGCAAAGTTTAGTGAGCAATGAGTAATTTTATTCGTATTTAGGTGAGCAACAAGTAAATTTTTAAATTTTAGTAAGTAAGAAGTAATATATAGCAAAATTCAATGGGGAACGAGTAACTTTTTAAAGATTAATGAGCAAGTAGTAACCATTGCAAAATTCAGTGGCCAGTTGGTTAAATTAACTCCTAACCATTTTTCTTTTAGTCTTTATTTTCTTTCTTTTTTCTTTTTGTTGGGCAGCCCCCATCTGTTTTATATTTTTTAATTTTCTCTCTTTTCATTTTTTTTTATAATTATTATTCTTTTTTGTGAAATGGTTGAAAAAATTGTCCTCCCGATTAATTTAATGCCTATTTTGAAAGGATACTAGCTAAAAGAAATAATTTCTTCTCCGTCTCCAATTGAAAGTTTAAGAGAAAAATGCTAAAAACAAGTTCGAAACTCAACTATACAACTTTTAATCAAAGTATAAAAGCTCAGAAGAACAGAAACTTTCTTGAAAACATTTTACACATGGATATGATTAAATAAAACTCTATTCGAAAACACAAATTTATGTTCAAATAAACAAACAAACAAAAATAAATAAGTAAAAGCAAGCCTCTATAAAGAAAGAAAACAGTTAACAAAAATTATATACAGAAGACAAAGTTCAAATATATAGCATCCAAATGAAATAATATATTTACAAAGACAAGAAGCACTTTTTGCATATGTGCAGACATATTTACACCAAGAATAATAGAGAATGCACCATCAGTTCATTACTGTATTCTTCTTCTCTTTTTCTTTTTTCCTTTTTCCTTTCTTTCATTTTCAAATTTCTTCAGCTTTTCCGAGCAATATACAACACATCAGCTCTCAGCTCCTATCGTTGCGAAAACAAACTGAGATAAGTCCATCGGCCATGTTAGGGAAGTTATTTCCTATTAACAAATTCCCTGCTATACAATATCACAATATTGCTATATATTATTTGATTTTTTTGATATTCTTCTTTTTTCTTTTCTTTTTCTTTTTTTACCATTTGTTTAAGAGATACAGAATAACTATAAACAACATGATGAAGCGAAGTTAGAATGTAGCAGGACCAGAAGACCAAAACCCATACGAGGGTGTTGTCGAACATCAACTCTTCTGAAGAGAAGAAACCCACTGCTCCATATACTTCTTGTTCTCTGAAAACGAGATTGAAAAATCATGAAATATATCATAAAAATACAAAGGATAACCTGGATCGAGAATATTTTAGATTGTGCTACATTCATTTAAATAGATGTAAGCTACCAAACAATTAGAAAAAGGTATCCGAAACTCGACCGAGTAGAAAAGGGTATATGTGTAGTTTACAATTACAAACAGGTAGGAAGAAGACTTCCATTTATAAGCAATAGCATAACGAAGAAGATGCTAAAGTCAGTCTAGAATTTCCAACACTTGACTTGATAATTCATTTTTAAAATGATCTCTATTAAATTATGAAGAATACGCGCTTATTTAGCTCCTGTTCGACCATCATTATTTCAAAACTCTTTAATTTACACTCATTTTCAACCACACATTCATACAATAAAATATTTTGTACGTAAATTCAAAACTTTTCCCTATTTCTTAACCACACATTCTCCAAAAAATCACTATTAAAAACTCCATTTTCTCAAAATAATGACAATCAAACAGGGGCTTATATGCTCCAAGAAACCTCTAACTTCAACAATGAATTATAAACTCAAGTCTAGTCCTACTGGACTTGTGAATTTGATTCAAGAACACATTTGGACTTAAATCAAAATGCAGGTATAATCAGCATTCGTGCAATCTCCAGAATACCATTGACACGATAAATTAATAAAACCACAAAAACTGACCCAAAAACTACTTAAACTGAATCAAAACATAAACTACTAACTACTTCTACTTATCCTCCAAATCAAGCCAAATCAAAGCTTGAGCCTTGGAATGGTCATTGGCTTGCTACTCACAAACTTCCAAATGGTTTCTGACAATTCTCGCCGTTGGATTATATGTCATGTCAGGTTATTATTGGGTGAGAAAGAAGAAAAGAAACCAGATGATTATATTTTAAGACATAGGCCCTGAACCAATGGGGACAATACAGTCTTTATCGTTAAAAGGGTTATTGGCAGATATCCAAACCATGGGCATATTTAGCATAAAACTGCAGCGGAGCTTAGCATTTAGCCATAAAAGAATGGTTGACAAACTGTAATAGTCATAACCAGGAACCTACTACTGAATCATATACACATTCTATCCACTATCACAAAGAACTAAAATCTGATTCATTTGAATGCCTACAACTATATCTACAAATTGCAGTGTAATGGAAGGAGAAACAGTAAGAAATTTTGTCAATATTCTGTCACACCAGACGAAGAACACTCCCTCCGTATTGATATTCAGGGAACAATATTTTTAGTGACAACTTGTGTGACCCCGAGAATCTGGTGAATCCTGCCATTTATAACTGATCCCCAAGTTCCTTCGATAACATTTTGCACTTCAAATGGCTTTTCTGTTTATTTAAAAACTTACTACAGTGTCTCTTCAATTCTTGAATATTATAACAAAAGAATTTATGCTCCAGATGAAGAAATAAAATTATAAATTTGAGCAATTCCAATTTAAGGTCAACCTACATGATGCATGCGTTTGTGTTGTGTGAGAAAGAAGGGATATCATGTTGCATCCGTTTTGCTTATCAGTCACAGACATGAAAACTAACACTCGAGATGTATATTTAAGACAAAAAGCTTCAAACAATGTTCCTGTTCCCATGAAAGAAGCAGTATCAGCGACATGCCAGGAATTCTTGCTGTAGTGAACTTGCGTGATTTAAAGCATCCAGCTGAATAATGATTTTTCCTTTACAGGTAAAGAATTATTCAATTACGCCAAGAGGTTATGAAAGACTGTACACACAAGTTAATTAGAAAACCTCTATTATTGTTTCCCTCTCCTGACTTTTTATGTTGTNTTATTGTTTCCCTCTCCTGACTTTTTATGTTGTTCCTGTTCTTAACCGCATATGTAAAGCAGCAAATAAAGGAAAGGAAAGAGGTTGAAACTAAACTGGAACTTGAAGAAGAAATAGCAATCCAGACAGAAAGAGTACCAAGTTTGTAACACTTACCAACATATCATCTCTTTTAAGTTTTAACTGTTGAAAGAGTACCTAGCAGCAAAATTTATGTAGTTTCGCAACGATTTTTCAAGCTTATAAGGCGATCAAACATCATTTTTAACCACACATTCAATAATTACCACAACTTTTTTCTACTTTTTAACCCAGAGACCCAATGCTTATAAGTACTAGGTTAGCCGAGCAAGCACTTAGACTACATAAGGCCCTCTCAGCCTGCCCTGGTTCAAATACTTTTCTTTTTCACTTTATCCTACCCCGCTCAACGCCATTATCTGTCCATCAATCCGATTTCATTAAGAAATCAAAATCTTTCGTCGTAACAGCACTGTGGGCGGAAGTTACTGCCCACGTCATTTTAGAAATCTTTAGGGCTTTGGCTCAGTCCTATTGGGTGGTGTATGGAAGGGTAAAACAGAGAATTCAAGAGTTCCACTATAACTCTTTGCTACTCCAACCTGAAGAACTTGTTTCCAGGTTAGATTTGCTGCCCTTTGGTTTATTATTCCAAATAGTCCTTCACTTTTCCCCTCTCTTTTTGTCACCCTAATTGGGGTCTCTTCCTCCACTACAAGATTGTCCCGTCCACCTGTTCATTCTTGCACTCTAGTAGCACAAATTTGGTAAACTCAAGGAGCCTATTGCTCTCCTTTTCCCCCCTCCTAATTCAAGGTTCATTATTGAGAATTTCTACCTTCTTCAACTCTTTACCACTTTAATCAGTTTATCCTTCGTAAAGTCTTATATCGAGATTTTTAGACATAGGCGTCTCCTTTGTTTTATACATCTAATTTTTTTGTTTTACATTTTTATATCAGACAAGAAGCAAAATATGAATCACTCAACAAAAGGCAATTCAAATATCCAAGTCATGCACATGCAAATATTGTACACTAGACTTTTTTCCCTGCTTCTTCCTTGTTAGCTTTCCTAATTTGTTGGTAGCCATTTCTAAAAACAAATTATTTAATTTCAACATGTAGTTCCTTACCAATGAGAGTTGAATACCAATAATATGATCATATTTAGTATCTTACCAATCTAATGCCAATGAATAAAAACTCAAAATCAAATCCAACAAGTGCATCCATTTTGATGAAACCAAAGGAGCAGAAAGGAATTAAAACATACATTAATATTAAGGTTACAGCAACGGGAATAAGATTTTCAGAGATTGATTCTTACCGGAAGCATTTATATCTGAGATTTTCCCAATTGTGTCTATAAACACATCCTTGGAGTTATCTACCAGATCCTTTTGACCATGACCATAGCAACGAACCAAAACTGCAAAACTATCATCAACATTATCATCAGTGGTGAAGCCAGGGCCATGGGACTCCAACCATCCAACCGACCAATCTGAACCATCAGAATCAGACCCTGAAAGACATCCTCCATCTGATGGCACCAGAACAATATCATATTCCCTGTCAATTTTTCGCTCCTCTCGACTGTGCCATTTTTTCTTAGCCCGTCCCGATGAGGAATTCACTTTGTCCATTTCCCACAAACCCGAATCAGGGGAGGAATTCAATGAAGATCCGTCTGAGATTTTAGGTTCCTGTTGCTTCCCACTCCACAACCACCATGAAAGATGGTTCAGTGCTAAAGCCATATATCAATCTGAACCTTTCACACCCAAATATTTTAGGATTTATGGCTGATAAATTCAAAACTTTAATAATGCACAAAATATTCGATATACCTCAGAAGCCTGAAAATGAAGATTCAGTGGATCATTATTTCTTGATTTTAGAAAATCTAAAATTAATAAGAATAACTAGATAGACATCAAACCGACAACCAATATGAAAAATGAATATTTATATATTAATGAAAAATGAAAAAAAAAGGGGGAAAAATGATAGCTAAGTCCACGACATATCAAGTTTGAATCCAATTAAATGACAGCCAAGAATCAGAAACAAAAAGGTCAAAAAGAATTGAATACCATATACTTGACCAGGAATATTCCAGTTTTACAACAGAGTATTAACAAATTACAACCGCTCGACAAAATTCTAACAAAACAACATCATTAAGAAAAAAAAAATTATTTTCATAAATCCATGTCCACCTAAAACCATAGTTGCGGTGATTCAGATTTACTAACTGGGTAAATTCAAAATACCATTTCTTCAAAGTAACATCTGTTCAATCCTCGATGATATGTTATCCAAGCATAAATAACTATACGGGTTGATTTTATATAAGCACTTGTTCATCTGTGTAATCTGAAAAATAAATTTTTTAAGTCTATTGTTAGGCTTCAAAAGCATCCAAGAAATCAATCGAAAAAGGGAGTGCACCTTTCGAAAGGAAATCAGATGAAAAGAGACTTGGGGTTTTCTTGCTTTTCTGGATCTTGAAGAATTATGAATCTACAGCTAGACAAACAAGAATTCCCAAGAGACGACAAGGAGAGAACAAGTATATATATTCTTGTACGTTTCTGAAAACGTGTGCAATTATTATTCAATTTTCAATCATATTTGCGCTTTTCAACCGTAGAGTCGTAGGATGTGTATAAAAATGGGAGATTTGGTTTTAAAAAAAAGTTAAAAAACACCGCCAATAATACGGGTGTAAACAAGCCGAGAGCCACGACCCGAAACTTGAGGCTCGAGTTAGGCTCCAGCAAAAATGGTTCGAACTTTTTTTAGCTCGGGTCAAGTAAAAGTTCGGCCAAGAAAAGAAAGCTCGACTTCTTAGCGGGCCGAATCAGCTCTTTTTTTTTTCGTGATAAATCTATTTTTTTTAAAGAATTTAAAATTTGTGCAATTTATATAGACGTGAATTTAAAATCTATTTCTAATTTTATTTTTTTTAAAATAAAGTTGAGTTCGTTGCCGACCTGAGCCTAGCCGGCTCGGCTCGAACTTTCCTAGGTTGAGCTACGGGCCACCCCGAACCGACGAGCTTTTTTGACATCCATAGTCAAAAACTTTTAGTTAAAAGGCTTTTGGTTGAAGAGTCTAAAGCATATTTTACTATTTGATATTTCATCCGTCCCATTTATAAAAACTGATTTTATTTTTTACGCGGATTAAAAAATATTATTTGAAAAAATATTTTTTACCAAAAACTTTCCTAATTTACCCTTATTTAATTATCAATAACTAGTGATAAATTATTGTTGGAAACCATCGAGAAATGAATGATTTAATTTTCAATTCTCACATTCATAAATTATTTTGATTAGATTCATTGAGATCCATAATTTGGACTTTTTGAAACAATTTAATCTATGTAAAATTTCAAGATTAAGTGAGAAAAATTAGTTATAACTAGGCAAATTAAATAAAGTATATTAGTAAACGAGTAAAGCAAAACATTCTCAATAAAGAAACAAGACTATATAATTGAAACAAAAAAAAACCAATCTATATAAATGGGACGAATGGAGTGCTTATCATTTTTAGAAAATTTTGATAAAAGTTGATAAAATGTTTTATTGAAAAGTTCCAAAAGTCATAAAAATTTATAGTATATCTGACTGGCATGAAAAATATATTTTAGAAAAGAAAATGTTTTCCTTATTTTGAGGAAAAGAAAAACCTACTTCCTCCAAGAAAATGTTTTCCTTAAAAACAAGAAAAACTAGACATTTTTAAAATTTGGAAAATATTTTCAATGGGAAAAAAAAATAGCAATCAAACACTTCAAAATACTTGTGTACCCATGGGCGGACCCAAGGGGGGTCCTGGGGGACAGGTGCCCCCCCCGCAACTTTTGAGATTCATTTTTTTTTTTTTTTTAAATCACGTTTGTTATCGATTGAAATTTTAATTTTAATCTAAATCAAAGTTAACAATTAATTTTAATAA